CTTTTATTTATTAGCCCTAAATGAAAACTGGGTTTGTTGTTTTGGTCGCCGTTTAACGTGAACATAATTACCGGTTTTTATTGAAAATTAAAAAGTTAACCATTAAAAAATATTTTGTTTGAATAAATTAATATACTGGTTTGTTTAACTCTAGTGGCAGATTAAAAAAATAAAATATTATGTACTTTGGATAAATATCTTTCTTGATTTATGTTGGAATGTAACGAAATTCTCACTTGAGACAATAATGAATTAATAACAAATATTGCTTCCAAAAGAGATTTTTGAAAGGATATAATAAAACAGTTATATGAAGTGTACTTTTAAATTAGACGTTGGGCATTTTTCAAATAAAAAAAGTATGAAAGTGGTGTAGAAAACATTATACACGTTTTTTTTTAACAAAAACTGAATAATCATGAGTAACTTGATAAACTGAAGAGATTATAATTTTACTGAATGTTGTATATTCTTAATGACTTAGTAACCTGAGATCGATTTGACCGCTCCCTTGAAACCGTATCGCATTTAAAATAAGTTCGATAAATCTTTGTAAAGTAAGACAGAACAAGAACTTCGTGTTTGGTTGAAGTGATTTTAGCAGCAAAATATTATATGTACTTTTTCAGAGGAACTGATTTTTCGACTTATCAGGGAAGACGAATTTTGTGGATTAAATGTATTGAAAAATAATAAATTGATCATTTTGTAATGAATTTTATTTTTGTTGTCATACGGGATTTTCTTCGAATCACAAATATTTCGATTAGTAATCAAATTAAGAAATATTTTGTTTTTGTCAGTATGAGTTATGAAAATTGTTGAATTTCATTGAAATCATGAATCGATCTAAATCAGATAACCGTCGAAATCCGGAAGCACTAGACGACCCTTTTATCCTAGTATGGGACTCTTTAGTAATGTGCATCCACGACATTACTTTAAACATCTTTAGTGCTGTAATAACATCAGTCATAAACTTCAAATCATAGATGTTCTTTTTTTTGATCTAATGCAGATTTTATTGCCAATATCGTACCGTTACAATATTTATCATTTATATCAATAAAAGTTTCGAATCAAATATTTCTAACCATTTCCGATGTTTTGTTAACGGAAACTTAGTGTTCAATATGTACAATTGAATACCAGATATAGAGTATATATTTGTTTGAAATTAGAACTTATTTTAAACAGTAATATTCCTCTTCTTCTGTAAAAAAAAGCAAATCTAAAGTTGTTAAATTAACAACAAACAAATGTTTTTGATTCAAATTGTAACTTTGCAATGATTAATGTGTTCAAGTTGACTATTCAGTTATAAAATTTTGTAAAAAGGCAAACCAATCAATGAGAGTATTTCTACAAGATAACTTTTGTTTGAATTGAAAAGGAAAGATTGCGAATAACAGAACTGATTGTTCATTTGTAAAACTGTAATTTTTCTTTTTATTATTATTAATGAAAAGTTTATGCATCGCTTCTTAACTATGCATTTGTCGAAAATGACACTTATTTATTAACAAACGTATTTATCACTATACATAACATTATTTAACTCAGTTCTTATGAACGCTTCAGTAATTTGTTTATCACGGATGTACTAAGATGAATATGGAAAAATATAACTTGATATCATCTATACAACAGAAAATAGATGACCTGCTTTTGGCACATAATTTAGTGCAGTAAACGAATTGTTGATACTTAAATATGTGTCAGTTTATTGATTTTATGTCAACCAACTTTTATAAATGAATAAACTCGGATTCATGTGGCATGATCTAATTTGACGAACATTTATATTTTCACGTTTATTCAGTTGTCAGTTTGTATATCTGTGTATACTGGGATATCAAGGACAGTTGTAAAAAGGACTGATGATACATCTGTCGTTTTAATTTAAATTAACAAAAACCATGAATTTGTTGATGAGATAAAAATGTTTCGTTGAGCATAAATTGTTCAATAGAAAATACTGTACCTTAGTTGTACTTGTTCAAAAAATCACTCTAAAAATATATGTTTATCTTTAAGACTAATTAACCAATATTGAAATATGTTACTACTAAAAATCTGTTTTCTTTTTTTTAAAACTAACTCAATAAATTTTATTCACATGAAATTATACGTTAGTGACTTTGCTAATTATTAGAAAATAGGTGTGGCTTTCTTCAGATTGTCGAGTACATTAATTTCCTATAAATTTATTTTAATTTGCTGTATCATTGTTAACAATAATGAAATCAGTAGTTAGTGTGTAGTAGATAACTATCGTTTTTTCTTTACATACCTAATGGATTGAATTAGGTGCAGTAAAGTTAAACAAAATAGTAAGTTCAATGACACAAAAAGACAAAATTTTTATTTTTGCCTAAAATCAAAATGTTTTCATCATGTAGAACTTTTACTTAGTGTATGTTTAAGCAATAAATTGTGTAATAAATACTTTTGAAAATAATGAATGAAACATTCAGTTATTTTTCAGTTTTCTTACAGTATTGTAATTAAAATCTGGATGCCTAATAAACAAAACACTGAATAGCAAATGGCTGAAACAGTTACATTACCAATGTAACTGTATAAGTGAATAATGATTTGGCTAACCGGTTCTTTCAACACGGTTCAATAACCAATAATGATGTTGCATTATTTGATTAATGGCTCAAGTTACACGGTCATGTCAAATGCAATAGTGTTCAGGCCATACACATAAAACTGGAAACAAACATATAGCCTATTATATATATATATATATATATATATATATATATATATATATAGTATGATATCTAGGGACAAACGTAAATTCAGTAGTCAACATTTCTGTCAGTAATTTTACTCATATAAGAAATTCACTTATCATCAGTGTATAATGTTTTCACACACACTGTTGCTTTATTTACTATATACAACTTTAAAGAGAAAAGTTACTGCTAAATTATGAAGTGTCTTAGATGCTACTAAATATTGCTTTCATAAGCAATATGTTCAACCACGAATTGTTTACTTATTTTAAAGCTGAATTTATATCGTTATCAGAAAATATCTATGGTTTTATGTTTTATTTTGAATTTATCGCGTTTGTCAAGTTAAACAATGGTGCAATGAAAGAAGGCAGAAACTGGAGGTCATTCTCTTTTGTCTGACTCCGCCAAAAAATCATCTTGAATAAATGGCAATAATAAATGACCTAGCAGATTTCAGTTTCTAGAGGGAGATAAATCGAAATTCTTAAGCGTATTTGTTATTTTATTCTGAATTGGATTTAATTTTACCAACTGTTACGTATCAGCTAAACAATGAGATGTTTATGACAACCACTGAAAACATAGACTACCAATAGTAAGAATACTAGAATGTGTTCAAGAAAAAGTTTTTTTCAGTAGTTTCATTTAAATGTATGTAAATATCCGTCCCAAAGTGTGGGTCTTAAAACTCCAGTTTCTTCCCTTCCGTACTGTTAAACTTTTGAACCAAATTGAATTATTCTGCTTTCCTTCAAACTGTTTGCAATATTTCATTTTCAAGTGTATAGCGACTCAATGATATTATTCTAGTTACCATGAGAGAGAACCTTGAAGACTTTCTCAATCATTGGATGACTTAGCTTTCAGTCGCTGAATATGAAACAAACATTCTGATAAGTTTATGTACTTTTTTTCTTCATTCCACAAGTTGATCAATCTTGTTTAAGATTTCGCTCATGTAAGTGACTGTACAGTTTCATTCATAAAATTGTCAAAAAAGTTCTCTTTATTTGGGAAAAAAATTTTGTTTTTATGCATCGATGCCTGTTTTTTTCTATATCTTGCTAAGCATGAAAATTAGTAAATTTACATGCATTTTGCCAATGAGAACAAATGACTTCTTATCATTTCAACATTACTTATTGCAAAGAATTAACAAGATAAAAATTAACATAAACAAACTGAAGAAAATGTTGACATTAAAATTTGAAAAAAAGGCATATTGTGATTCATTGAAAGAATTCAGTTTGTTCTAATTTCATTCTGTTGAAATTACAATTTAGTTTAATTTGTTGACTATAGTAATACATCATTACTCAGTGTATTTTCATGTTCAATATACTTTTAAACATCGTCCCTAACAAATGATTGTTCAAATTTGTTCACATTACCATTGTAATTAACTTCAAAGTGTAAAATTTACATGACGAAAAGATTAAGAGTAAACCACTACGTATATGTTTTCATGTAACATTTATTGTAGCAATGATCATTTTTTTATTCATTAGTCAATAAGAAAATCTGGTATTTTAACAAATTATATTTTGAAATGCAAAATATATGTTTTACAGTTTATATCTCATGTAAACTATGCTCAAAAAGCTACAATATTTTTTAACATTCAATTTTTTACACTTTTTTACTGCTTAAATAGAAACTTTTCATTTTAAAATCTTTTCTCATTAGTGACGAATTGACCGTATATGTTTTAGCAAATGTTTTTACCTTCTATAAAACATTAGATTTACAGTACGCCATTCGTCAAATCCTGGTTAAATAGTTTATTCTAACACTCTATTTCTTTGAATTCATGTCAACAGGTAATTTTAATTTGTTTTTCTCATAAATTATACGATTTAAAATACAAAAATTATCACTGTTAAATATCAACTTTGTTAATTTTTATTTGTACGTCTTAATGCCACACAAGTAACCATTGAGTAAAGCTAGTTACTAACGAATCTATAAAATCTTATGATTGATTGATTTGCGTCGATCTGTCTGCACTGATTTCATCTTACACTAACGTAATACTTCTTTGGCACCATTCAGTGTTCGATTATATTCACAAAAACAAAGGAATAATCGTGAAGAATATTTACATTGTTGTTCAGACCTGATTAACAGTTGCAAAAAATCCTATCTCGTTTTTTTTATTCTAATTAATGCACACACTATAAATGTAATTTATTTGTCAAATAACATAATATTCAAACTGAATTACAGCGAAATTAGTTCATAATAACTTACGTATATTGACAATTATGTTAAGAAATTTAAGAAATTTGTATCACTGATAACTGATGGCCAGTATTTCTGTTATTATTAAATATATTTGTCAATGAAATAAGTATTTATCAGTTTATTATTTCATGTTTTTTATACCTTATTTCAATTGTTTTTAATATATATAGTTTCAAACGATAACCAATTGAAAGCGGATCGCCTACGCATATTTTGGGAAAAGGGATAAAACATTTTTTTAGATAGTATGTAACATCATTCCCAGCATAGTTAAGTTGTTTTCTAAACACTTGGAACGTCAGTTATTTTTTAATTAAAAAAAATACTTTAGTTTTCTCTTTGAACATGGATGATAAGTAACTTTCCTCATGATTTGATCAAACTAGCGAACATTATAAAAGCTTATTGATAACATATTTGTCATGGTTCTATGAGATATTATTTCACTTGGGGTTATCATCAATTTGGCTGTTAATTTTCCCTTTTAAAGATAGAATTCACCAAGTTTTAAAGTGATATGTAAAAAATAAACTGATTGAATTTTATCACACAATAACTGAAACGATATATAGTTTTAAAAAAAAATTCAGAACTACTGAACGTGCGCAAAGAACTACTTCAGATTATTTGATGAAATAAAGTAAGGCGAGAGTAATTACCATTTTTAACTGATTCCAGGTTGAAAGCAGTCATTACTTACTTACTTACTTACTTACGCCTGTTACCCCCAATGGAGCATAGGCCGCTCACCAGTTTTCTCCAACCAACTCTGTCCTGGGCTTCCCTCTCCAGTCCTGTCCAATGTTTGTTCATTCCTCTCATATCATTCTCTATTTCTAGACGTAATGTGTTCCTTGGCCTTCCTCTTTTCCTTTTGCCTTGACGGTTCCATGTGAGGGCTTGTCTCGTGATGCAGTTAGGTGCTTTCCGCAATGTGTGTTCTATCCACTTCCATCTCTTCTTCCTGATTTCCTCCTCCACTGGAATCTGGTTTGTTCTCTCCCACAGTTCGTTGTTGCTGATCGTGTCTGGCCAACGAATACGAAGTATTTTGCGTAGACAACTGTTAATAAACACTTGTATCTTCTGGATGATGGTTTTGGTAGTTCTCCATGTTTCTGCTCCATACAGTAGAACTGTCTTCACATTTGTATTGAAAATCCTGATTTTGGTTTTGATTGAAAGTTGTTTGGAGTTCCAGATATTTTTCAACTGTGGAAATGCAGACCTTGCTTTGCCAATCCGTGCCCTCACATCTGCATCGGATCCACCTTGATTGTCGATGATGCTGCCCAGATATGTGAAGGTGTTAATGTCCTCCATGGCATCTCCATCAAGAGTGATTTAGTTGATACATGTTGTGTTGCATTGGAGAATTTTGCTTTTTCCTTTATGTATGTTGAGATCTGCTGCTGCAGAGGCTGCTGCTACACTGGTCGTCTTCTCTTGCATTTGTTGTTGCGTGTGAGATGAAAGAGCCAGGTCATCTGCGAAGTCCAGATCGTCCAGCTGCGTCCTAGCTGTCCATTGGATACCGTGCTTCCCTCCAGTTGTTGACATCTTCATAATCCAGTCGATCAACAGGAGAAAGAATGAATGTGAGAGTAAGCAACCTTGCTTGACACCGGTCTTCACCTCAAATGAGTTTATCAGCTGATCTCCGTGCACGATTTTGCAGTTGAATCCATCATAGGAATTCCTTATGATGTTGACTATTTTCTCAGGCTCACTGTAGTGTTGAAGAAGCCTCCACAGTGTTTTCCTATCCACGCTATCGAATGTTTTCTCGTAGTCGATGAAGTTGATGTAGAGTGGTGAGTTCCATTCAATTGACTGTTCCACAATGATCCGTAATGTAGCGATTTGGTCAGTACACGATCGATCCTTACGAAATCCAGCCTGTTGATCTCGAAGTTGGACGAAAGCAGTCATTAACTATGAGATAGTAGTAAGCTGTTTTATTCTAGTATTCTACAACTCGGGATTGTATACTCAAATAGATGAAAAACTAACATACAACATCCTTGTGACAACGATAATCACACAGTCCAGTAGAAAGAGGGACAGAACAAAAACTATTGAGGAAATAAAATTTAAAGGAATCAGTAAATTTCTCGCACTCAATACATTATTTCCTAGGATAGGATGACTTATATGACTGAATATTAATTACGAGGTATTTTTATTTCGCAATAATATTAAGTTGGGCGAGGATAGAATAATAAATGTTGTACAATACAGTGTTAGTTTAGATCAAATCTGACACTTAGTCTTACTAATAATGATTTTGACAAAATTCAACACATTAGGAATAAAATTATTATCAATTTCAACGTTAATAGCAGCATTACAATACACTTGCAATACACTTCACTATGAAACTATTTTTTATGATGAAAGTATAGAAAGCAATTAGATCACTGTAATTAATTTTACAAAAAATCATAATTAGTTCAGCTGTAACATTCTTAGCCGTTTCTATCCAAACCAAATAAATTATAATAATTATTTCATCATCTACTCTACATAATGTTACCATAATAAACAAAAGAGGAATTCACTCATAAAATGAAAGCATAGTATTCATTTGGTTAATCATTATGATGACTACATAGACGTACTTCCAAAAGTATTCAGTCTGTCTTATTAGTTACAATTCTTTTAGAGATTAAGTAACTTTAACCGGCTGTTGAAACGAACCATTAAATATTTATAAAATTAAAAACATTTCTCTGAAATTATAGAAACCCGAACAAGTATACAATAAGTAAACTGGAGCAAAGGTTATTATTATTGAATAGTAAAGCTCATGGTTCACCCAAAACCGAAACATCATGTAAACAACCTCATCACATTGCACTATGTTTTCCAACTTAGATATATGTGAAGGCACATAGAAGAAAGAACAACCGTGATTTGTAAGTTAGAGTGGTTGAATATGTATATGCCAACAAATCAAAGCAAGCGAACCAATAAGTTTTTATTCAGGTACCTAAATTTTTATTAACATTTGTGTAAAAAGATGTTTCTCACGTTTATTCTTCTCATCTGTAGTAGTAATAGAAGTACATTTATCACAGGTGACAGAATGATTATCCCCCAAAATATGTCTATCATGTTAGAAAAAAAATGATGAAATGAAGTAGGAAGTTATTACAGTCTATTTATCTTGAAAATACATTTGCAAATCTTAGTGAATTTCATTCATGATGATGAATTATGTCACTCAATCTCAGAACAACACAATAAGTTGACTTAAACTAGATAATAATAGAGTTCTGAGAGTAAACGAGGTTTTCGACATATTACTTAAGAAAATGCTTAAAACAGTTTACTGACACGCAAACAGAATAAATAACCTCATTTTCATTGTTCTTTTTTCCTTAGAAGAAAAATGATTTCACAACTACATTGTTGACTGTCTTATGAAATAATTTTTCATGAACCAAAGAACGTAGTTAGTCTAGTCTAAAAAATCTTCGCAATTTCCCATCTTTATAAAATATAAATATTATTTCTCAAGTTTACATCTTCGTATTGCGGCCGTTATGAAATCGTTTGTCTTCAACGTTACGAAAAGTTGTAACAGTCATTTCAGCCTCTGGATCAATGATTGTAACAAATTTACTGCAATATTGACCACTTAATACATAATTTGTTGGTTAAGAATCGGACAACGTTTAACTACACTTGGGTAACTGATTCATGAATTTTCTTAGCTGCAGAGTTTCTGTTTCAATTAATATATATCTATTTTTTAAGCCTTGTCAGATTAAACCGTATCCTCACTGATCACTTAACTAATAGTTTTTTCGCTTTAATAAGCGGAATGAATTACTTTTTGTTTAGAGCTTAAAGCATATTTATATGTTTACAAATGTAAAGTCTTTTGTTATAAATAAAATTATATTTTTGACATACGCTTCAAAAAGAATGTGTTATTTTAACTTGCCTTAAATATGATCAAATAAACATGAGAATAATTTATGAACATTCAATTACAAACTTTAGTTGTCATTCAATTTTAAAATTTGTAAGCTGAATAGATTTGAAATAGTGTAAATGATTTTACATTGACGTATGAGAGATACTTGATTAACTACATGACGGTAGTAACTTATTTGGAATAAAATTAATTTTTGGTTAACAAATGTAGTGTTCTTTAAAGACCAATTTATTTATCCTTAGAACTATTTAAGATTGAATCAATATCTTTATTAATCATTGTAAAGTAATTTACTTAGTGATATTTGATTTCGTACCGCTAACCCTACGTCAGCTCGAAAAATCCTACTCTACTCTTATTAACACTAACCTAATTATTAAAATAGGTTTAATTGTCTCTGGAGTTTATACATTGATCAATCAGTATGCAATTCGACTTTGCATTTTAAAAGGATTATCTTTCATGAAAATTATCTCCTCTTGTCAGGTTACAGCCAATTTCTGAATGGAAAGGATTAGGTTAAATGTAACAGGAAGAGAATGTATTTTGGAACCTCTTCCAAAAATGACACAACATTCAGTGATAATCAACGAATGCAGAATAATGTAAAGTCGAAGAGATTGAGGTGATAATATAGGTGTGGAGATATTATTTTTCTGGTGTGCTGACAACCATTGAAAAATCATTGGGAAGTGATAATTATTTAACGCTCTTTCATCCTTCTTTGCTCTTTCTTAGCAGTATGAAACCAGGATCATTTAAGCGATCGAACCTTCTATACTATCATACTATTAAAATAAAATGTTATTGTACATATCTCAGACTCCACACAATTTAAAACTATGATCTGTCGTCATCGGGGATGGATGGTACACATTCATGACCCCGCATGAAATCATGACTATGCGTTGTTGAGAATGCAGAACCGAAGAAGAAACATCTGTATGGTGCTCCCTTGTTAGCAATGCTCAAACTACATGCTCAAACTGTATTCAAAAGTTTTAAAGACATAATATTGCTAGTGTACTGTTAAACTGTTCAATAAATCGTATTTATGTCTTCTGGAATAAACTAACAAGTGATCTAAACCTAACGAACATGATTAAAATAAACTAGAATTTCCTTATTTTAGTAATAAGCAAGTGTGAATAAACAATGGATA